TGAATGATAATCTGGGCAATAACGAAAGCTCAACGGTGGCGAGTAACGAAAGCGGTGTAGTGGTTGCTCAACGTATTATGACCCGACGAAGATCGGTGCGTTTAAATGGTGGCAGCAATGGGGGTGATAGTAATCATTGAAAAATCTAAACCTCCTCCGCCTAACCCTCTCACAATTCTATTCTAATGGCAACAATAATTATATGAAAAAAAGGAAGAAAACATAATAATATTACATTGTATATCACTAATATTATAAAAACACAAACAAATCAACATAAAATATGCAAATATGTATCGTTAAACTTTTTTTTATAATTTTATTTTTTTTTTTAATTTTAAGTAATTTCATTTTTGCTGAAATTCTTGAAAAACAACAACATATTTACAGCTAACTCTCTCCTCATTGTAAAATTATTGAAAGAAAAAACAAACAATTTAAATCAAATAATGTTAAACTTATTAAAAATTAACAATTAATTACTCATTCTAGGCAATATTTTCGTATTAAAATTTATTATTTGATTTGACTTCACACTCGTATAATATTTTTTATTATTATGCTTAAATTAAACAAATTAGTTTTGTTTATTTTTATATTTCTCTGCATAAGAAAATTGCATTATAATCGTATCGAGGAAATAATGCAGCGTTTTGTTTATTTTAACATTATTATTTCTTTAATAATATTATTTTTTTTATTTTTATTATTATTACCTGTAATAAACTTTTTAGACTTGATTGCGTTAAATAAACTAATAAATAACATAAATATAACAAAAAAAGTAAAACAAAACAAAAAACCCGCAAAAAAAAAAAAACAAACAAAAAATACACATAAAAAACCATAATAAAAAAAATATTTTTCAATAAATTTAAAAATTATTGATCAATTCAAAATTGAGATAAACAATTTTTTTAGTTTAGTTATAATTATTTTTTATAGAAATTATATTTATAGAGTTTGAGATAAAAACAACAGAAAACATAAAAAACTAATAATAAAGAAAAAAAAGGAAAAAAAAAAATACAATCAATAAAAAAATTATAAAAAAATAAATCAATTGAAACTGGTAGTTATTTGTTAGAAGAAAGAAAGATGAATGGTTGGTAGACATGTACACATATTTATAATAAAGTTTTAAAAAATACTTTTTTTTTAAAGAAAATGTTTAAAAAGAAGTGAAAAACAAAATGTACCATGTGTATTAGGACACTTGGAGATAAGCGGTAATTTGTTATAAATGGAAGATAAAATGAGGACAAATGCAAATTTGTTACTCGGAAATAGGGCGAGTGAATTATATGCGATCACTTGGAACTGCAGTTATGACCACACAGATCCATGTCCTCAACGAGAGGGCGACTAGGAACCCCCTACAAAATGCCAAATTCAAAGTTTAGTATGATGTTACATATTCCGAGTAGACACAGGGTCACAACTGTTAAACAATTGGACTAAAGGGTTTAGTCGAATGTACACTTTTTGTCATTGCTAAGCTTCCTTCGAAGCTAGATTCAAATATCTTGGGAGCGATGTTATTCCATATATTTTATCCCTCAAAAGCAAAGATTGAAAAATTCAAAAAAAAAACACGTCTAGCTTACTGAACATCATCAGATGATGATTCTTGTCATAAATCTGTACTATAATGTTTTTTCATCAAAACTTTCTATCCGATAACGGTCTAGATGTATTTCTTCGAAGCTGATTTAGTAATATCCTTTCAATCTAACCCTAACCAACTGAATTCAAACCAGAAAAACTAGTACTTTTTATGAGATTTTAGTAAATTTTCTGATATTAAAACTGTGTCGTGGGGATTTGTCCCCAACTTGGATATTTCATAATTTATTTGGGGATCAATTTTTGTGGAAGGCATTTGGGGATTTTGGAAAAATTTGTTGATTTTTTTATAATTTTTCCGCTATTTTTGAGAATTTTTATATTTTTTTAATAAATATTAACAATTATTTTCGTTCTAGTTTAAATTTATAAATTAATTATATTAATATGGTTATCAGATTAAAGAGGATCCTTGGAAATTAAAAAATATATTTTTTTTTTCATTTTTCAGGTTGAAAGATTGTAAATTATGACCTTTAAATATATTATTCCTTAAAATTTATTTTATATAAAGTCAAAATTTTTCTGGCAATACTGTTCGTTCACGATATCGAATATTATGTTATATTGCGCCATATATGTTTCATTAAAAATTAAATGTACGCTTATCAAAGACACTTTTTAATTGGTTTAATTTCACATATTAACAATTATAGCAGCGCCATCTATATGTGAAACGAGTTTTTTAGCTTTTACTACTTTACATTAAACTGTTATATTCAAATTGTTTAGTTAATGCAAAAACCTTACACACACATTTTTAAAGCATATCTTTAGGCACCCAAAGATAGCAGCACAAAATGTGAGAACAATATCGATTTCAAACGTTTTTTTTTGAAAATAATATTAATCAATAATTTGTATTAATTTTGTATACAATTTGAAACACGATTTCTTAAATTAATCATAATTAAGGAGGAACATGGAGTTTTAGTGAATCTACCAAAAATCAAAACTTATGTTTCGCAACATATTACTAAATAATAAAATCTTTATTACAACTGTAATATACAACCACTACAATTTCCTAATTTCTTAAAATTATCTCTTGCAACGCATAATATTACCCCATAAACCAGAAATTTATAGAAATATTCCGCTGTCATATTGCTTAACAATTCTCTAATACCACACACAATATTAACCACAATTACCAGGTGTCATTTCCGTTAAGCTTAAGGTCACCAAGATAAGAATTACAATTTACAAAACAGAAAAAAAAAATTTATATTTCTATGTTAGTTTTACATAATACACAAATATGATTAAATCGACAGAAATGCAAATTATCACTTATAATTTATAATGCAACAAAGTTTTGCAAAAAAAAAAAAAAACAACTAAGCTATAACGACGTCTGCCAGATTAGCCATACTACACTACTAGCCAACAGACACATTCACTATTATGGTCATTAATAGTCTATTGAATGTGTTTGTTTGATTGCTTGTTGCTACTTGCTGCTAGTAAATGAGTTGCTTATGCAGTGACAACATTTTTTGAAAAAATGAAATAAACAAATCTCTAGTTACTTGTGCCAAAGAGTGAGTGTCATTGTTGCTGCTACTGTTGGTGGTGTGATGATGGTGGTCAGTGTCTTGGTCAGGTGTAATGAGGAAGATGTGCAAAAAATAAACATGTTATTGTCACTCTATAATAAGGGAGGTATTGCTGACTGCTCATGATAGTTGGTAAATAAAGAACTGAACTAGAATGAACTAGAACTGAACTAGAACTGAACTAGAACTGAACTAGAACTGAACTAGAACTGAACTAGAACTGAACTAGAACTAGAACTGAACTGAACTAGAACTGAACTAGAACTGAACTAGAACTGAACTAGAACTGAACTAGAACTGAACTAGAACTGAACTAGAACTGACTAGAACTGAACTAGAACTGAACTAGAACTGAACTAGAACTGAACTAGAACTGAACTAGAACTGAACTAGAACTGAACTAGAACTGAACTAGAACTGAACTAGAACTGAACTAGAACTGAACTAGAACTGAACTAGAACTGAACTAGAACTGAACTAGAACTGAACTAGAACTGAACTAGAACTGAACTAGAACTGAACTAGAACTGAACTAGAACTGAACTAGAACTGAACTAGAACTGAACCTAGAACTGAACTAGAACTGAACTAGAACTGAACTAGAACTGAACTAGAACTGAACTAGAACTGAACTAGAACTGAACTAGAACTGAACTAGAACTGAACTAGACTAGAACTGAACTAGAACTGAACTAGAACTGAACTAGAACTGAACTAGAACTGAACTAGAACTGAACTAGAACTGAACTAGAACTGAACTAGAACTGAACTAGAACTGAACTAGAACTGAACTAGAACTGAACTAGAACTGAACTAGAACTGAACTAGAACTGAACTAGAACTGAACTAGAACTGAACTAGAACTGAACTAGAACTGAACTAGAACTGAACTAGAACTGAACTAGAACTGACCTAGAACTGAACTAGAACTGAACTAGAACTGAACTAGAACTGAACTAGAACTGAACTAGAACTGACTAGAACTGAACTAGAACTGAACTAGAACTGAACTAGAACTGAACTAGAACTGAACTAGAACTGAACTAGAAGAACTACTGAACTAGAACTGAACTAGAACCTGAACTAGAACTGAACTAGAACTGAACTAGAACTGAACTAGAACTGAACTAGAACTGAACTAGAACTGAACTAGAAACTGAACTAGAACTGAACTAGAACTGACCTAGAACTGAACTAGAACTCAACTAGAACTGAACTAGGGGGGGTGTGATGTACTATTTCATGCGAAGTACATCACACCCCCCTAGAACTGAACTAGAACTGAACTAGAATTCAACTAGAATTGAACTAGAACTGAACTAGAACTGAACTAGAACTGAAAAAGTGGATTTTGAATAAAAAACTTGATGTTTAGTGAAAAATTGAATTTTAAGTAAAAAAAGCGAATTTTTAATGAAAACTCACAGTTTTAGTTAAAAATTTAATTTTCTGTAAAAAAACTTAGTTTTCAGTAAAAAGTAGATTTTTAGTGAAAAACAGATTTTCTAGTGAAAAATATAAATTTTATTGAAATTCTAATTTAAATGAAAAAATTTAATTTTTAGTAAATTCTTTTTTCAAAACCGGTGAACCTTAAACTGGGTTCAGCCTGTTTTGAATTCTTTTCTATTAAATTGAACCACTGCAAGTGTAATGCACCCAAATTCCAAACTATACCGATAGCAATTCGGAACTCTGATTGCAACATTAAACTATAGCAGTTGAGAAACTTAGCAACTTGTTTTTAAACATAGCAACATGTTTATAAACCAGCTTTTAATAGTTTCTTTCCTCCCATTAAAACACTATCGACTCTTCTTTAAAATTATATTTTATTTTAAAAATTAATTTTTTTTTACTCGTTTTTCTAACATTTATATTTTTTTGTTACACAAAATTATTTAAATCACTCCAAAATAAAAGTAGAATATTATAAAATTTTTAATTAAATAAAATAAAATTATTAAAAAATAAAATATAAAGTTTTAAACAAATCAACAAAGATGAATGAAGTCCTTCTTACTTATTCTTTTACTCTATACATTTCGCCACGCAGGGCATAAGTTACAAAACATATTTCTTAAGCAAGTTGTACGTGTAAAATTTAATTATTCTTTCTTTTTATTCTTTTAATTAAACATTATTCTCTTCTCTGAACGAGAGAAGAGAATAACTGAGATTGAGATTGATTGAGTAGTTTAAGTGGCAGTGTTTAAGGAGAAGGAGGGAGTTGTTGTTGGTGACAGGCAGTGTTAGAGATAGAATGTGTCTGGGAGAGAAAGTGTGTGTTTCGGGGAAGATGTGGTGGAGTTTAATATTTATAGCCTGGTCTTCCACCAGGTCCCTGAGGGAATTGAGGTTCACCTTCGTAACTGACATCTGCATGATAGCCAGTCTTCCAATCGGCTGTATAGCGCACAACTTGCATGCGACCATCGGGCAACTGCACACGATATTCACCGGTTACAACATCGCCATTACTGGAAGCTTTATGAGCATAATCGTTGGCAGTCTCAATATCATTGACAGCATATTCAAAGTCGAATGGATTGCCGGGCATGTGTACATGGTCCTGGTAAATAAAAGGAAAAGATAAATTTAAATTTCAAATGTTTACAATGAATTAAGGAAATAATTGTGTTAGCAACATGTTGCTAGTAACAAAAATGTTGCCAGAAGTTATATAAATGTATTTAACTATATTTTAAATGGTAAAAATTATTCATGTTTAAGTAAACTTACTGGTCCGGGTTCTCCATTTGGTCTGGGACGTGGTCCTGGACCTGGTGGGCGTGGACCTGGTGGTTTCTGCAATTAAAGTTATAAAAGAAATTTGTTTATAATTTGTTGTTAAGTTTAATTATTTATGTTCAGCTCTAGTTATCAAATTGACCCATAATATTTTCGTCTAATAAAAGTATATTTGTCTGTCTGTTAGTATTTCTTTTAAGGTGACGATATTTATGTTAATGCCAATTTAATGCTGTCAAGTTGAGGTGCGGCCAAGAATGTATACGATGGCTTCTAGCGCAAGTGGGTAGAGAAACATGTTTAAAATCAAAATGTTTTTCTTTAAAGTTCAAGATGTATTTCTGTTTTACTAGAAATTTCGTGCCATATAACAAAAAAAAAAAAAAAAAACACAAAAAACAGTTGGAAAATCACTATAAAAACTATTTGCAGACATTTACTATAAAAACTTTAATAAAACGTATATAAAAACAGAAAGAAGACTTGTTACCACCTCTTAATAATATGTTGCAAGTTTGGTATTAATTTCATATTTTTTTACAAAAACCATATCAAGGTTTTTGAGTCAATATAATTTTTACAGAATTGTGGTTAGTTGCAATGATATCGTTATATTTGTTACCAGTTTTTAATATTTAATTGTGGTTTAATTATGATGAAATGGTTATAGTTTTTTTTATTACATAACGTGAAAGATGTTTATAAAAAATCTGCTATTATTTTTTCATTAATTAAAATAACAACTAAACCATTTTGCCGACATAATTTCCCTTGAGAAAAATATTTGAGAAAAATAATAACAAATCTGTAAAACTGAAATAAAATCTCATGAAATGCACATTCATTCAGATGAACAGAGATACAAATGTCTGCTTAATACTAAAACTAAATCACCTAGTAGGAAATTTTTTCAATATTTTATGTGCCGATCTAATTTTCTAATTATAGACAATGTTGGATCAAAGGCTGAACTGAACTAGAACTGAACTGGAGCTGAACTAGAACTGAACTAGAACTGAACTAGAACTGAACTAGAACTGAACTAGAACTGAACTAGAACTGAACTAGAACTGAACTAGAACTGAACTAGAACTAGACTGAACTAGAACTGAACTAGAACTGAACTAGAACTAGAACTGAACTAGAACTGAACTAGAACTGACTAGAACTGAACTAGAACTGAACTAGAACTGAACTAGAACTGAACTAGAACTGAACTAGAACTGAACTAGAACTGAACTAGAACTGAACTAGAACTGAACTAGAACTGAACTAGAACTGAACTAGAACTGAACTAGAACTGAACTAGAACTGAACTAGAACTGAACTAGAACTGAACTAGAACTGAACTAGAACTGAACTAGAACTGAACTAGAACTGAACTAGAACTGAACTAGAACTGAACTAGAACTGAACTAGAACTGAACTAGAACTGAACTAGAACTGAACTAGAACTGAACTAGAACTGAACTAGAACTGAACTAGAACTGAACTAGAACTGAACTAGAACTGAACTACTGAACTAGAACTGAACTAGAACTGAACTAGAACTGAACTAGAACTGAACTAGAACTGAACTAGAACTGAACTAGAACTGAACTAACTAGAACTGAACTAGAACTGAACTAGAACTGAACTAGAACTGAACTAGAACTGAACTAGAACTGAACTAGAACTGAACTAGAACTGAACTAGAACTGAACTAGAACTGAACTAGAACTGAACTAGAACTGAACTAGAACTGAACTAGAACTGAACTAGAACTGAACTAGAACTGAACTAGAACTGAACTAGAACTGAACTAGAACTGAACTAGAACTGAACTAGAACTGAACTAGAACTGAACTAGAACTGAACTAGAACTGAACTAGAACTGAACTAGAACTGAACTAGAACTGAACTAGAACTGAACTAGAACTGAACTAGAACTGAACTAGAACTGAACTAGAACTGAACTAGAACTGAACTAGAACTGAACTAGAACTGAACTAGAACTGAACTAGAACTGAACTAGAACTGAACTAGAACTGAACTAGAACTGAACTAGAACTGAACTAGAACTGAACTAGAACTGAACTAGAACTGAACTAGAACTGAACTAGAACTGAACTAGAACTGAACTAGAACTGAACTAGAACTGAACTAGAACTGAACTAGAACTGAACTAGAACTGAACTAGAACTGAACTAGAACTGAACTAGAACTGAACTAGAACTGAACTAGAACTGAACTAGAACTGAACTAGAACTGAACTAGAACTGAACTAGAACTGAACTAGAACTGAACTAGAACTGAACTAGAACTGAACTAGAACTGAACTAGAACTGAACTAGAACTGAACTAGAACTGAACTAGAACTGAACTAGAACTGAACTAGAACTGAACTAGAACTGAACTAGAACTGAACTAGAACTGAACTAGAACTGAACTAGAACTGAACTAAACTGAACTGAACTAGAACTGAACTAGAACTGAACTGACTAGAACTGAACTAGAACTGAACTAGAACTGAACTAGAACTGAACTAGAACTGAACTAGAACTGAACTAGAACTGAACTAGAACTGAACTAGAACTGAACTAGAACTGAACTAGAACTGAACTAGAACTGAACTAGAACTGAACTAGAACTGAACTAGAACTGAACTAGAACTGAACTAGAACTGAACTAGAACTGAACTAGAACTGAACTAGAACTGAACTAGAACTGAACTAGAACTGAACTAGAACTGAACTAGAACTGAACTAGAACTGAACTAGAACTGAACTAGAACTGAACTAGAACTGAACTAGAACTGAACTAGAACTGAACTAGAACTGAACTAGAACTGAACTAGAACTGAACTAGAACTGAACTAGAACTGAACTAGAACTGAACTAGAACTGAACTAGAACTGAACTAGAACTGAACTAGAACTGAACTAGAACTGAACTAGAACTGAACTAGAACTGAACTAGAACGGAACTAGAACTGAACTAGAACTGAACTAGAACTGAACTAGAACTGAACTAGAACTGAACTAGAACTGAACTAGAACTGAACTAGAACTGAACTAGAACTGAACTAGAACTGAACTAGAACTGAACTAGAACTGAACTAGAACTGAACTAGAACTGAACTAGAACTGAACTAGAACTGAACTAGAACTGAACTAGAACTGAACTAGAACTGAACTAGAACTGAACTAGAACTGAACTAGAACTGAACTAGAACTAGAACTGAACTAGAACTAGAACTGAACTAGAACTAGAACTGAACTAACTAGAACTGAACTAGAACTAGAACTGAACTAGAACTGAACTAGAACTGAACTAGAACTGAACTAGAACTGAACTAGAACTGAACTAGAACTGAACTAGAACTGAACTAGAACTGAACTAGAACTGAACTAGAACTGAACTAGAACTGAACTAGAACTGAACTAGAACTGAACTAGAACTGAACTAACTGAACTAGAACTGAACTAGAACTGAACTAGAACTGACTAGAACTGAACTAGAACTGAACAGAACTGAACTAGAACTGAACTAGAACTGAACTAGAGCTGAACTAGAACTAAACTAGAACCCAACTAGCACCGACCTAAAACTAAACGTTAGAAAATTTCTTAAAAACAAATATAAAATTAGACTAGATTTCCTCTAGGGTACTTTTTGCAGCATATAGACAGACAACAACAAAATAAATGCATTTCATTAACAGACTTTATTTCCATACATACACCCAATGAAAAACTCTAACACTAATTCTCACAGACATTTACATACATGTAAATAAGCAAAAACAGACATGCATGAACATGCATATGCCGAAATTGTATGAAGTTTTTTTTGTTAGAATATCAGTGGTTTTTCCATTTATTTATTTCTTTTTTGTGGAATTTGTTAATGTTGAATGTTAATTTTAGTTGTTGTTGTTGTTATTGCCCCATCTTTATTAAAACTGTTGCTGACTGATATTGTTGCATGTTTTTTTTGGAGCGCTGTGAGTAGTTGCTACAAACAGCAAACACCAAATAGCACTTGAACATTGTCATTTGCCACATGCAACCAACCGCATGTCAACTTAATAAATTTTTCATGTCATGCCACAATAATTTTTACTCCATATCATCACCATTACACTTTACAGCTACTACTTCAACTTAATACTACTACAACTAACACTTGCAATAGTTGCATGCAGACAACGATTTCCACTCACAAACATACAAACCTATTTACCTACATAAGTGCATTTGTTGGTATGTGAGGGGCTATTTATTATTTTATTTTTTTGACTCTTTGTTAAAAAGTTCTGTTTTATTTAAAATTTATTTATTTTTTTTTGCTGTTTCATATTACATTTTAATTTTCTTCAATGTGCAAATGTTTAATGAAGTTGCATGCAACATAAAGTACAAATGACTTGCAACACCTAACAAACATTAAAGTGAACAAACACCTTCCTATTTTACGAGTGTTTATATGGAGTTTTTTTTTCGGTAAAGCTCTTGTTTTATGTTTACATTTATAGTGCATGTTGGTATTTCATTATTTTGTTTAAAGAAGGCTGCCAAAGAAATATTATATGAAATCCTAGTTAGAATATACAAATCTCCTGGACTCATTTACTGCTAGCGATAACAAACTAAAGTCCAGTTTTTAAGTTAGTTTATAGTGTATATTATTGTCTAATTTATAGTCTAGTCTATAGTCAAGCCTATAGTCTAGTCTGTAGTCTAGTCTATAGTCAAGTCTATAGTCTAGTCAGTCTTCTAGTCTAGTCTATAGTCTAGTCTATAGTCTAGTCTATAGTCTAGTCTATAGTCTAGTCTATAGTCTAGTCTATAGTCTAGTCTAGTCGTCTATAGTCTAGTCTATAGTCTAGTCTATAGTCTAGTCTATAGTCTAGTCTATAGTCTAGTCTATAGTCTAGTCTATAGTCTAGTCTATAGTCTAGTCTATAGTCTAGTCTATAGTCTAGTCTATAGTCTAGTCTATAGTCTAGTCTAGTCTAGTCTATAGTCTAGTCTATAGTCTAGTCTATAGTCTAGTCTATAGTCTAGTCTATAGTCTAGTCTATAGTCTAGTCTATAGTCTAGTCTATAGTCTAGTCTATAGTCTAGTCTATAGTCTAGTCTATAGTCTAGTCTATAGTCTAGTCTATAGTCTAGTCTATAGTCTAGTCTATAGTCTAGTCTATAGTCTAGTCTATAGTCTAGTCTATTGTCTAGTCTATAGTCTAGTCTATAGTCTAGTCTATAGTCTAGTCTATAGTCTAGTCTATAGTCTAGTCTATAGTCTAGTCTATAGTCTAGTCTATAGTCTAGTCTATAGTCTAGTCTATAGTCTAGTCTATAGTCAAGTCTATAGTCTAGTCTATAGTCAAGTCTATAGTCTAGTCTATAGTCAAGTCTATAGTCAAGTCTATAGTCTAGTCTATAGTCAAGTCTATAGTCTAGTCTATAGTCTAGTCTATAGTCTAGTCTATAGTCTAGTCTATAGTCTAGTCTTAGTCTAGTCTATAGTCTAGTCTATAGTCTAGTCTATAGTCTAGTCTATAGTCTAGTCTATAGTCTAGTCTATAGTCTAGTCTATAGTCTAGTCTATAGTCTAGTCTATAGTCTAGTCTATAGTCTAGTCTATAGTCTAGTCTATAGTCTAGTCTTTAGTCTAGTCTATAGTCTAGTCTATAGTCTAGTCTATAGTCTAGTCTATAGTCTAGTCTATAGTCTATAGTCTAGTCTATAGCCTAGTCTATAGTCTAGTCTATAGTCTAGTCTATAGTCTAGTCTATAGTCTAGTCTATAGTCTAGTCTATAGTCTAGTCTATAGTCTAGTCTATAGTCTAGTCTATAGTCTAGTCTATAGTCTAGTCTATAGTCTAGTCTATAGTCTAGTCTATAGTCTAGTCTATAGTCTAGTCTATAGTCTAGTCTATAGTCTAGTCTATAGTCTAGTCTATAGTCTAGTCTATAGTCTAGTCTATAGTCTAGTCTATAGTCTAGTCTATAGTCTAGTCTATAGTCTAGTCTATAGTCTAGTCTATAGTCTAGTCTATAGTCTAGTCTATAGTCTAGTCTATAGTCTAGTCTATAGTCTAGTCTATAGTCTAGTCTATAGTCTAGTCTATAGTCTAGTCTATAGTCTAGTCTATAGTCTAGTCTATAGTCTAGTCTATAATCTAGTCTATAGTCTAGTCTATAGTCTAGTCTATAGTCTAGTCTATAGTCTAGTCTCTAGTCTAGTCTATAGTCTAGTCTGGTCTATAGCATAGTTTATCTCTAGTCTATATTCTAGTTTATAGTCTATAGTCTGGTCTATAGCCTATTCTATAGTCTAGTCTAAAGTCTAGTCTATAGTCTGTCTCTATTTAAGTCTATAAAACATTTACTGTTTTTTTATTGACTACCACCATTGTCATTTGATCATTACTAAACTTTAAAGTTTCCTTAATCTTTTTTTATATTTTTTTTTGCAAAATTGTTGCTGTTGCTTTTATTGTTGGTAATTTAATATTACATTTTTTGCAGTTGGAAATTTTCAAACAGAATTTACAATCTTTAGTCAAAGTACCTTCCTGTCGCCCTCCCATTTTTATGTTTTTTATATTCAGCAAAAGTGCAAAAACCGTTACAAATTCACTTTTGTTCCACTAACCTATAGTACTATGTTTAGGAGTCAGTAGTGTTCGCGTACTTGTAGTTTAGATACTAAATAAACTAAATGTTTTTTTAGTTTTTTTTTTTTCTATAGCTTTGCATTTTTATGTACAACATTTGCTTATTCAAACTTCAAACTAAAAAACATAGTACAACACCCCAACAACAAAATTCACTTGCATATACACATCAACTTCATTATGCTGTTCCTCAACAGCAACATTTTTAAACTTCATTATTATGTTGCTGTCATTAATGTTGAGCAGCAGAGAGAATTTTTCACCAAAAAAGGTAAAAAATCAGTGGAACGCAACAGTGTACAATTCACGTGCTTTATAGGTTACTTGTTTGTTTGTTAGTTGGTTCGTTTGTCTGCATGTGTTTGAAGTTGTTTCCTTTACTATTATTTTATATTCTGTTTTTATTTCTACATTATTATTGTTGTTTTTTGTATGTTTATTTTTAAATATATAGTAAAAAAAGTAGTAGTATATAGGTTAACAGTTGTAGTTTTAACAGCAAACTAACAAAAGCAGTTCCATAGTTTTGGTGGGCAGTAGGACAAAGTAGTTGCCATTTTTCTTTATGTTGCCTGCTCTGTTTTGTTGTGATGTTTGAAAATGTTTGAATATTCTTGCCAAAATTGTGTTTTGGCTTAAAGTAAAACTAATAGCTGTAGTTATAGTTACTTTTTTTTAATAATATGATTGTGTTACTGTTACCAATTGATTTATAAGCTTATTTTTGAAATTAGTTTAAATTGTTGTACAATTGATTTGTTGCAACAAATGTTGCAGGGAATAGTAATTCAATTAATTTGTAGTTTTCATAATCATAAAAAGTCATGTCTAGTTAATTTTTAAATGAATTATTTGAGATTAATAATGAATAATGTCTAAAGTTTTGAATTGCTTTCGAATCATTACTCAATAAACTTAATCTATTAGAAGAATAAGTTTCTGTCAGAAAATCTTATTCGGATAACTTGGCTAATACTTACTGGGAATGGTGTATCTGGTTCTTTATAATCATAACCATTTTTTTTGGGAGGTAAATATTGATTTGATCCAGGCGCTATTTGGGCACATACACTGGCTAAACCCACTAGTGATATACTCTGTAAAATTGTACAAGATTGTAAAAAATTAATAAAATTAAATCTCTTCTTCAAATTTCTAAACTTTAGAAGTGTTGGTTGTTGTTATATGTTTTCATACATACCTTAAGTTGAAATTATAGTTCTTTTTAACAAAAAACTTGTAATAAAACTTTAACCTTCAACTTAACTTCCGTTAATGTTGCAAATCAATAAATATTTATAATAAGAAAATTGCAAATATTTGAAATATTGTTTAAATTAAAACAACTTTTATTTTTAAAACAGCTTTAAGCTTTAACTAGAATATTTAACTACTTATTTTTAAATAGATAAATCTTCTTTAGTTTTATTACAAAAAAAAAAAAAAAAAAAATAAATAAATTAAAAACTAATTACACTACTGTATACTAAGTATCTACACTTGTCTGCAAATAAATAAATATAAACAGCAGTGAATGGCACAAAGAGAACTAATAATTGAAACCAGGGAAACACTTATGTTATAGCTTTATTAACATTTTGAAACCGTCATTGATATTTCAAATATTCAAGTAAACGGCCCCTGTTGATTAGAAAAGCCACACGCTGCTATTTTATTTTAAATTTTTAACAGCTGGATTTTTTTTTTTTGTAATTTTTTTTTTAAACCATTAAATATCCAGACCCATTGAATTAACTGATATATTTAAGTTTGTATTTGACACTAGTGTATTTTATCACTCTTTATAAATAAACATGCGCTCTCTTAGAAATATAATTAAAATCATGTGTCATTTATGGTAATTTATTATTTTCTAAAGTTAACCAAATGCGTCTGACTGTGCTGATGATTATACTAAATATGGTTACTGGCATAAGACCAGAGCAGATCATTTAGTTAGAGTGTTATATATGAAATTAACGAATGTGGAAACTTCACTACAGAAAATTTATACGGATAACATTTCTTTATAGAACTGAATTAGAACTGAACTAGAACTGAACTAGAACTGAACTAGAACTGAACTAGAACTGAACTAGAACTGAACTAGAACTGAACTAGAACTGAACTAGAACTGAACTAGAACTGAACTAGAACTGAACTAGAACTGAACTAGAACTGAACTAGAACTGAACTAGAACTGAACTAGAACTGAACTAGAACTGAACTAGAACTGAACTAGAACTGATCTAGAACTGATCTAGAACTGAACTAGAACTGAACTAGAACTGAACTAGAACTGAACTAGAACTGAACTAGAACTGAACTAGAACTGAACTAGAACTGAACTAGAACTGAACTAGAACTGAACTAGAACTGAACTAGAACTGAACTAGAACTGAACTAGAACTGAACTAGAACTGAACTAGAACTGAACTAGAAACTGAACTAGAACTGAACTAGAACTGAACTAGAACTGAACTAGAACTGAACTAGAACTGAACTAGAACTGAACTAGAACTGAACTAGAACTGAACTAGAACTGAACTAGAACTCAACTAGAACTGAACTAGAACTGAACTAGAACTGAACTAGAACTGAACTAGAACTGAACTTGAACTGAACTAGAACTAACCTAGAACTGAACTAGAACTGAACTAGAACTGAACTAGAACTGAACTAGAACTGAACTAGAACTGAACTAGAACTGAACTAGAACTGAACTAGAACTGAACTAAACTGAACTAGAACTGAACTAGAACTGAACTAGAACTGAACTAGAACTGAACTAGAACTGAACTAGAACTGAACTAGAACTGAACTAGAACTGAACTAGAACTGAACTAGAAACTGAACTAGAACTGAACTAGAACTTGAACTAGAACTGAACTAGAAACTGAACTAGAACTGACTAGAACTGAACTAGAACTGAACTAGAACTGAACTAGAACTGAACTAGAACTGAACTAGAACTGAACTAGAACTAGAACTGAAGAACTGAACTAGAAATGAACTAGAACTGAACTAGAACTGAACTAGAACTGAACTAGACTGACTAGAACTGAACTAGAACTGAACTAGAACTGAACTAGAACTGAACTAAACTGAACTAGAACTGAACTAGAACTGAACTAGAACTGAACTAGAACTGAACTAGAACTGAACTAGAACTGAACTAGAACTGAACTAGAACTGAACTAGAACTGAACTAGAACTGAACTAGAACTGAACTAGAACTGAACTAGAACTGAACTAGAACTGAACTAGAACTGAACTAGAACTGAACTAGAACTGAACTAGAACTGAACTAGAACTGAACTAGAACTGAACTAGAACTGAACTAGACTGAACTAGAACTGACTAGAACTACTGAACTAGAACTCGAACTAGAACTGAACTAGAACTGAACTAGAACTGAACTAGAACTGAACTTAGAACTGAACTAGAACTGAACTAGAACTGACTAGAACTGAACTAGAACTGAACTAGAACTGAACTAGAACTGAAACGAGAACTGAACGAGAACTGACTAGACTGAACTACTGAACTAGACTGAACTAGAACTGAACTAGAATGAACCTAGAACTGAACTAGAAAACTGAACTAGAACTGACACTAGAGAACTGAACTAGAACTGAACTAGAACTGAACTAGAACTGAACTAGAACTGAACTAGAACTGAACCTAGAACTGAACTAGAACTGAACTAGAACTGAACTAGAACTGAACTAGAACTGAACTAGAACTGAACTAGAACTGAACTAGAACTGAACTAGAACTGAACTAGAACTGAACTAGAACTGAACTAGAACTGAAACTAGAACTGAACTAGAACTGAACTAGAACTGAACTAGAACTGAACTAGAACTGAACTAGAACTGACATAGAACTGAACTAGACTGAACTAGAACTGAACTAGAACTGAACTAAGAACTGAACTAGAACTGAACTAGAACTGAACTAGAACTGAACTAGAACTGAACTAGAACTAGAACTGAACTAGAACTGAACTAGAACTGAACTAGAACTGAACTAGAACTGAACTAGAACTGAACTAGAACTGAACTAGAACTGAACTAGAACTGAACTAGAACTAGAACTGAACTAGAACTAGAACTGAACTAGAACTGAACTAAAACTGAACTAGAACTGAACTAGAACTAGAACTGAACTAGAACTGAACTAGAAACTGAACTAGAACTGAACTAGAACTAGAACTGAACTAGAACTAGAACTGAACTAGAATTGAACTATAACTAGATAAAGTGACTCAAAAACAATGAAGATTTCAATTACTGTATCGTCTTCAGTATAGGGTATCAAAGTACCACTTGGATGTACCGCTCACTGCACATCATTAAATTATTGATTGATGAGCTCAACAATATAAGTACCTATGTGTGTGTGTGCGTTTGTTTGTCGTTGTTACATGCTGTTGTCAATTAAATCACACAGTTACACATACACATTGTATTTTAACATGAGTTTGTAAATATTTTTAAACACACGTCAAGTATCTATGCGAATATAGTATAATATGAGAGAAGCTTTTTGCAGAACAAAAAAAAAAAATCATTGTTAGTATGATTTTTTTGTGTTTGTTTTCTACTCGTGTTGCATGTAGAACACCTTTTTTATAGGCTAAATTGCCATTAAATACATTATAATTTATAGCGTTTTTTCGCGATTTTTTTTTAATACAATCGCTTTATTTTTTCGCTGAGTTCGTTTCATTTAATTTAATTGCCATTTTAAATGCCCTTTTAAAAAATGTTTTTTTGGTAACAAGAAATCGAGAAAAAAGAAATAAATAAAAAAGAGTTGGAAAAAAACTATAATTCTAACTAAAAAAACTACTTGCACCTGCAAAAGCATTTTTTGTTTGGTATTTGTTGTATGAATCTTTAAATATTTGTTTTAGTTGTTGTTAGTTTTAGTTTTATTTCAGTTTTTATTTGTGTTGCCTTATAATGTCAATTGTGATTTTTATCACATTTAAATGGTGTGTTTTTCTTCTAACATATTTTTTATGGGAGTTTTTTTTGTTGGTGCAATTATTTAAATGTTGTAATATTTCTGCAGGACATTTTTTTTCTATTTTTTGTTGCAGTTGTAATTTGATTTTGTATTGACGAGCTAAAATTTGATTTTAAATTGGATGCAATTACAAATTCTGTGAAAGCTGGGAAATTGTTGTGGAATACTAGGGAACGTATGAGTAATGTAATATGATGTATGTATAAGAATTTTTCTTTATCATGTTCAACTAAACTTAAACTTTTCGATACGAAAACGTAATGCGGATAAACCTTTCTATATGAAATATTTAATTTTACGTATGTACTTTTCTATAAAAAACATTATTCGGATAATCTTTTCCATATAAAAATATTATCAGGATAAACTTTTCCATATAAAAACTTTATCCAGAAACACTTTTCCATATAAAATCTTTATACGGATAAACTTTTTTATATAAAACATTGTACGGATATGTTTTTCTATATAGAATCTTAATCCGGATAAACTTTTCTATATAAAATCTTTATCCGGATAAACTTTTTTATATAAAAACTTTACACGGATAAACTTTTCTATATAAAACTTTTTTCGGATAAACTTTTCCATATAAAAACTTTATCTGATTATAGGTACTTTTCGTATACAAATTTTATCCGGATAAACTTTTCTATATAAAATCTTATCCGGAAAAACTTTTCTATTTAAAAACTTTATTCGGATAAACTTTTCAATGTTAAAACTTTATTGGGATAAATTTTTCTATATGAAAACCTTATCCGGATAAACTTTTCTATATAAAAACTTTATCCGAATAAACTTTTCAATGTTAAAACTTTATTCGGATAAACTTTTCTATATAAAAACCTTATCCGGATAAATTTTTCTATATAAAAACTTTATCCGGATAAACTTTTCTATATAAAAACTTTATCTGGAAAAACTTTTCTATTTAAAAACTTTATTCGGATAAACTTTGCTATATGAAAATCTTATCCGGATAAACTTTTCTTTATAAATAATTTATCCGGATAATTTTTCTATATCATAACTTTATCCGGATAAACTTTTCTATATA